GGAGGAGGGCAGCCTCCCCCCAAACCCCACGCCCTCCCTCTCCTCGCTCCTGGGCGTCACTAAAGTCCAGGAAAATTATGCTAATGAGGACAGCGGGCTCTCACAAAGGGGTCTCTCGCCGGGTTCTATTTCTTAGGAAGCCGTTTGAGAAACCGTGTCACCCTCTGCCCTAGACACTTCCAGTTGAGGGGCGAGGAGAACAAGAACCAGAGAGAGTCCCCCAGACTTCGGGCGGTTGCCCTCACCTGCCACCCCTAATCCAAGAACCACAAAGCCAATCTCTTGGGGGGCTCGGATAGGGCCTCCTTTCTTGAGAGACCTCCCCACGAGCCTACAGGGCTGCCCGTGGTTATGTTTCTAGGCAGAAACACTGAAATCCTGGCAGCCAGGAGCGAAGGAGCCGGGAGATGCACGGTGGGGGGCGGGGAAATGGGCAGCCCCAGGCTCAGGTACGCACAAGGTTCCAGAAACCTGGGCCTCCAGCCCTTGTGTGTGGGGTCACAGGACAAACATGCAGGTCACTCACAGGGAAGGACTGATAAAGCTCTGACCCCAGCAGCCACCGACATCCACGGTATCCACCCCCACCCTAGTCAGTGGTACACAGGGAAGCTGAGCAGAGGAAAGGCCTGGATGTGCCCGCGATATTTCCACAACTTTAAGGAGGATAGTCTCCCTCCCTCCCATTGCCTCGCTCAAATCCCCAGATTCAGAAGTGAACCCTGCAAGGGTATGTGTGTGACAAAAAAGGGAGAAATGGAGCTTTCGTGCAATTCTAAGGTGTCAACGCCCGGTCCTTCTCAAAGGAAGGTGTTAAAAATATAAGTAGTATGTTTAAACTGTCAGGGAGCCAAAGTGTCACCTTAGAGCAAAAACAAAGCCAAGGGAGAAGGGAGAAATCAAAAAGCACTCCGGGCCAGGGTGGCCTCATGCATACCAATGGTTTTTGTCATTTATGGCTGGGCAAGATTTATGACTCGGCGCCCCAAAGCTGTAAACAGAGCACAAAACAGCAAACACTTGCTCCTTATGGCATATTGCAGCAGCTCAACTTGAAAGGGGGAGCCGGGCCGCGTAGGAGGCGAGAGCCGGCCACAAAAATCCGCTCGGCGGCATTTTCTCTTCAAACTGTCCAGGTCCGATGTGGCATTTGAAGAAAGAAGGCGTGGGTCAATAATCAACCCGCACTTTCTCCTCCAAACTGCTGACGCGACTCTCACGCTTCTCAACTCAGCCAGCTGCCTGCAGGGACGGCCAGCTCTCTGTGAGACCTGCCAGGGAAGGGACGGCCCGGCCGCGGGATCGAGGGCACCGAGGTGAGGGCTGGAGCGCCCGGGGTGCACACCTTTCCACCAGCGCCAACACTGTGCTGGGCAAAATGTGGGGCTGGACCCGCCAAGCTGGGGAGCCGGGCAGCTGGGGAGAGCTGGGACAGGAACGGGCCCGGGTGGCTTCTGGACGCGGGCTGCCAGGGGCAGAAGCGGGGTTTGGACCTCAAGGCTGGAGTCTGGCGCCTTGGGTTCAGGCCTCTCTGCTGAAATCCAAAGTTTTGGTTTTTGAAACAAGGCAGGTGAGGTGATTAAAAGATACTAATTTATAACAGCTAAAGGTCATTTTTTGTTTATTTTTTTTAAGAGAAAAATCCCTCCTGTCAATGTTTCATGGCCAGAAACTACCCTTGGCTGCTGCTGCTGCTGTGTCCTTTCCAGGCAAATCCCGCAGCCATGCACCCGGCTCCACCAAAACCACTGAGGTTTTCTTTGCTAAGAAGACTCCATGGCTCCCCAAATTCCCCCCAAGTCCCCGTGCTCCCAGCCTCCCGCCCACGGGGACCAGAAGAAACCCTGTTCTCAGCACTAGAAGAATATTTGGAACAGCGAGGGCACGCTGCTGCCTTCTCAGGGATCTTCTTGTGAAGTGTCTGAGAGGCCACCGTGGCTGGAGCGCTGGCTGGGCAGCCAGGGACCAAGGGGAGGAAGGACTGTTTGGCATA